TGGACTATCACTTTGTAAAGCCATTCTCTTCGTTCAAAGTTCTTGAAGCTTATTGACAAAAGTTGCATTTGCATGCTAGTATTTTTTCCCCGTTTTTACTATTCATAGAATTACTTATTTTGGACTCTTGTCGACACTTTGTGTGAGCTTAGTTCTCTTTAGGAACAAAATAGAAAGAATCAAAGCATACACCGTTACGTGGGAGAGCGCGTCTTTTATTAAGAGAAAGACGGTGTGCTTTTGAGTGTATTCTAATGCCATCCTTGAAATGTTTGAGCTTGCATTTAAAAAACAAAGCAACAACAATACTGTGACAAGTGAATGTATCTCTGTATGCCAAATTTGCTCTTTTGTACAAAAACCAAGAAAACAATAAAATACATAAAAGGGTCCTTCCTTTTTTACAGAGTAATTATTAATTATTCCAAGGCTTGGTCAGTGTTTTTTTTTTTTATATCTCAGTCTCATTCCGCCCTGAGCCTGTATACATAATTCCTGTTTTCCATATCAAATAGCAATGCTCAATGAACATCATTGCAGATGATGCGGCTTCTTTGATAAAGTAATCAAGAGGTGCTCTCATGTAAACAGCCTTTGGTTTGTGAATCTTGGAAGACAAAGCCATTTATTGAGTGAGATAAATATATAAATAATTTTATAGATTAAAATTTAAAATGTCCTAAAATAACTCGTGTGGAAACAAGAACTAAGGTATGTTTTTTTTATTGTATACTGAAAAAGCATCCATATAAAATTCATACAACAAGCATCTATAATTGTCAGTTAATGTTTACCTTACCATTGGCCTGTTGTTGGCCATATTTCTGCTACAAATTTACATTTTAAAGCCTCCTAGAGATATCTCATGAGATTATACTACCATACAGAAGTCAAACAGTAACTATACATTTTGGAAAAAATAAATAAAAAGTATAAAACTTGCCTTAGTATAAAACTTAACTCAGCTATACACAAGTTATGCTTACACAGTGGCGTAACTTTGTTTTAAAAAGTGGGTGGGACATGTGTAAATAAATGAATTACGTGGCACGTGAATAAAAACATAAATCCGACTTTAAAACATGTCCAGTGGAATAGCCTATACAGAAAGTCCTGTAAAATTAAACGAATAAATTGACCTAATAATATGAATAAAAATTATAAAAACCAAAATATCCATAAAAGTTTTAAATGTAAATTAACTATTAAGCCAGAATTTTGATAACTGATTTTTTGCAGAACACACACGATTAAAATTTAAATTGGCTTATATCCATTGTACACACAAACTGCTGTACAATTAAACGAATAAATGGGCCTAATAATATAAATAAAGATAAAAAAATTAAGTGTATAAACAAAAATGTAAAAAAATAAAATAAAATAAAGGCCTACATAAACATTTTAAAAGTAGCCTAAATAAAAAAAATTAAATTAACTATTAGGCCAACATTTTGATAACTAAACGTTTGCACAGCGCTCACAAATAAAATAAAATGATGCTTATATCAATTGTACAAAAAAATGCTGTAAAATCAAACGAATCAATGGGCCTAATTATATATAAATTAAACTTGATTAAATTAAAAATGAATTGCTTTCCTTATCTACAGTTCTTTTGAGTTCACCTTCAAGAACACAAGTTTGGACAATGTCTGAGGCTTCAGACTCATGCGGTGGTTGCGGAGAAAACCGTCTCTGCCCTTGCAGACCTGCTTGGGATGCTGAACACAATGCGAGCTTCTTTAGCCAGGCGGGGAAAGAAATGGAGTCAGACTCGTGGTGTGAGCGGAGCGAAATTGGAGCGGGAAATAGGGCGACGCTCATTCCTTTTAAAAAAATGCCCCTTTGCGCTCTGTCCAAGATACGCCCGCTCGCGCTCCACTCCGCTCACATGCTCTGCACCGGAACGAACAAATAGTCTCCGAAACGGATTGAAGCGCGCATGTGAAGATGTGAAGACTGTGTGTGAGCCATGAGATACACTGTAACCGCGCTACCGATCGCAAGCGGCAAAGAGCACTTTGATCACTTGATTTAAAAAACAACGTATTTCAGGGCTAGATCGCTTCTTTTATTTTACAAACGAACTAAATTAATGGTCTGTCAGTTGGAGATTTTTTATTTATTTCTACTGTTAGATCCGTGCCGCGAGAGCTTTTAAAAGTGGTGGGGACAATATCGACCCTGGCAAAAAGTGGTGGGGACATGTCCCACCCGTCCCACCCGCAAATTACGCCCCTGTGCTTACATGACAATGTGTACTAAAAATGGAAACGTTTTTCCATTGCTTTTTTTCGCATACAGACGACAACATTGTCAAAATGATCCAACAAGGAACATTCTCAAGGATCTGAAAACAATTAAAAACGATGTATTGTGTAGGCTATGCCAGGCCAGTAGTTGGCGATGTCACTTGGTAAAGAAACATTACCTATAGACATTATGCGCGAGAGAATTGCGCAAGAAGTAATAGAATAAGAGCGTCATGGAAATCTCCTGAACTCTCGTCTCAGGCCCAGAATAAAGTCGTTATTTTTGTTTTATTTCCGCACAAAAAGTATTTTCATCACTTGATAAACTTATAGTCGAGCCACTGTTGTCGCATGGAATATTTTAACATTTTCTTCAATGACTTTCTGGGCCATCAAGTTTCAATCCCCTAGTAGGAGACTGTAGCAGGGATCTACCTCTCAAATTTAATCAAAAATATCTTCATTTGTGTTCTGAAGATGAACGAAGGTCTTACGGAGTTGGTACAGCATGGGGGTGAGTAATTAATGACTTAATTTCCATTTTTGGTTGAACTAACTCTTTAAAAGGAACAGTTAATTCATAAATCTGTAAAATCTTACCTGAACGCAATGAGTGCAGCGCTGAAAAGAGGCGGGGCTAGCTACATGAGGTCGTGTAATACACTTGCAAATGACGTCATCATTTTGTTATTTACATGGAGACAAAAACTTGCATTTTGAGACACGATTTCAAAAGTTTGTGTTTTCAGGCCACCAAAATGCCATTGTCGTGTAAATTAACGGTTAACCTGCTTTTCCTTTTTTAGTTGAAAACAGTGTCATGTAAACATCCCCTCAGATTCAAGAAAATGTTGTGTGTGAAAAGTGAATTAAAAAGCTATTTGTGTTGCAGTATTAACTGTCTTTAGAACAGAATACATCTTCAAAAAGGGAACTCAGTCAACCCTCCTCCACTTTTACATCATCATACTAACTAACTAACCCTGTAGCAGTGTTTTCATAGACAACGTAATTCAAGATCACACAATCTGAAGTTTACACTGTTGTCTACACAAAGCCTAGTGAACACCATTTGTTAATGTGTGTATTTTTAATGCATCTATATTTTATGCTTCAGGCTGAACCTCAAGTTAAGTAAAGACCCTTCCTCATTCCCTCTCATGACCATGGCTTCTGATATACAGTATATTCACATTCTGTTAGAAGCTGGGATTGCCTGCAGGTATAATATTCTCTTGACTTGCTCTGACTTATTACAAAATCTAGTTTGTTCCAACAGAAGATATGTGTTTGTGTCTGTTTGTGCATTTATTTAGGACAAAAGTGGCTTCTTTTTGCACTTAGAGGGAAGTTGAAGAACCATATATGACCAAACAATATGGGTATCTAGTCAAATCTGCTCTGCTTTAGTATGTGTACAAGGTCTGTGGGGTAAAGGATGTGTAACCCAGAACTGAAACTGATGTGACAGCATTCATATAAATAAATACAGGTCAATACATCTACTTGCAGGTATAGACAGTGAATCATTCTGAACACCACAAGCATGAAAGCTGCTTGCCTTTTTTAGGCTGTTGCCATGGAAACTGCTGCTGCTTAGATAAAAAAAATCATGGTGTGCAATAAGAGTTATTATATGTGGACAGCAGTTAATAGTAACTCTTTTCTCGAAAAGATATTCCAGAAGATAATTTTAGGTTATTTATTATTGTCGTACATGAATGTCAGTCACGTGACCTCTTACGTCATCCACTCTTTTTCCAGTTGACTGCCGCCATCTTGAGTACTTGCCAAGTACTGTCTATTGGCCTTTCTCAGTCTGTGTTCTTGTCTGTACTTTTGTCCTTATGTTCTTGTCAAACGTCATCTTTTGAGACCCGAGTACTGTCCCAATACAAGTTTGCATTTTGGCAAGCTCTTGACACGCCCATTTTACTAAGGATGCATCGGTTGGTAACTATCCCAGCATTCAATTCGGCATTCGAGGAAGGAGAGGCAGGTCAATACATTAATTCGTTTTTCTACAATAGAGTGCCGAAGTTACAACGTCACTCTGTAGGCCAAAACGCGGAAGTGAGTTAGCATTTTAGCATTCCCGGACCGGTTCCCTCGCTCTAAAGCCTATGGGATTTTGAATTGGTTTTTGCTAAATCGCCTGAAATAAGGTCTGTGACGAACAAAGCCTCTAATATTTTCATGTTTTGATCTATGACATAGAACACACAGTTATAACCTGCTTGTGTTTTTTTAAACTTTATTGTGTCTGCTTGGGTTTTTTAAAAACTTTATATAGGCTTCAAAATGTATAAGGATTAACTTGTAAAGATTATCTTGATAGACAAAACATGTAAGGGTCACAACTCTTTGTTAAACACAGATCGTATTTTTTTGCGATTTTCCAAAAGTCTATTGGGAAAATGCAGAGCTGTTCAACCGAGGGAACCCATGCGCCGCTAGCTTCCGAGTTGTCCTACGAAGTGACATCATCACTTCGGCACTCTATTACATACGCTATAGAGTGCCGAAGTTATGACGTCACTTTGTAGGATAACTCGGAAGTTAGTGGCGCATGGGTTCCCTTGATCGAAAAGCTATGCATTTTCCCCATAGATTTTTGGAAAATCGCAAAAAAATAAGATCTGTGTTCAACAAATAGTAAACGCCTTTGGCTGTTGCCTTTTTCACACATTGCTTTGCGTTTAACTTCTTCATATAACCAAAGTCTTTGTGAAGGAGAACATTATGTAGGATTAGGAAAAGCAGATGTTTATTTGAGGGTACTTGAGAAAGTATTACAAGTTGAAAAAAGTCCATATTACACTCAGTAAGCTAGGAATTCATCCTTGAATGAAACTTTCTTAAAGGAACGTGTCTGTCATCTTCTATATAGATTTTAACTCATTAACGGCACGACACTCGTCAAACAAACTGATCTAGAAATTTTTAAAAGCATTAGCATTTCGGCTTAGCTTTTATTCGGCCCCTTAGCAGGACCTTTCTTCTTGGCAGAACCTTGTTTTTTAGGCTGGGATTTGCTGGCCTTCGCTTTGGCCTCTTGGGATTTTGGGGCCTTAGGTTTGGACGCTGGTGCTTTGGCTCCCTCAGATGCAGCCGCGGCTTTCTGAGCGTGCTCCTCTTTGAGGGGCTCTTGTTTGGGCAGTTCTGGTTCAGGTAGCTCAGGTTTAACAGCTTCATCTTTTTCCTCTTCTTTCATGACGGGCTTTGGCTGAGTGGATTCCTCTTCTTCTTTCGTCACCTCTTCCTTGCTTGGTTCTTCTTTTGCAGACTCTTGTTTTTCTGTCTGTTTTTCTGTGATCTCTGGTTGTAGAGGCTCTTGAGGAACTATGGATTCCATCTCAGGGATGGCTGGATCAGGATTTGTTGGTTCTAATGGCTTCTCTTTGTTTACAGTAACAAACTTTGGTTTGTTTTCTTCTGCAGTAGAGGGTTCCTCTTGTGTCGACTCCTGTTTTTCCATTGGTACAATGGACTCAAGTTGGGGTATCTCAGCAGTAGAGGGCTCCTCTTGTGTCGACTCCTGTTTTTCCGTTGGTACAATGGACTCAAGTTGGGGTGTCTCAGCAGTAGAGGGTTCCTCTTGTGTCGACTCCTGTTTTTCCGTTGGTTCAATGGACTCAAGTTGGGGTGTCTCAGCAGTAGAGGGCTCCTCTTGTGTCGACTCCTGTTTTTCCATTGGTTCAATGGACTCAAGTTGGGGTGTCTCAGCGATCGCTGGATCCTCTTGTGCTGTCTCCTCTTCCTCACTATCCGATTCTACAGCATCATCTGCTATGGGTCTTATCAAGGAGGCTGCAAAATCCTGCAGACGGGCCTGTTCCACTCGCAGCCTCTCCATCTCTGCGGTGAACACGGGGTTGAGAGCCGGGATAGGAAGTTGAGCGAGCTCTGGAAGATCTTCTACTTGGGGCATGTCCATTTCAGGTGCTAAGGTCTCCTTTTCTGAATGTCGTATTTCTTTAATCTTGTCGTACAAACCTTTCCTTTCATTCTGCAGCACTCTGCACAGAGTTTCCAGACGGTCGATTTTTAAAGTGAAGAGCTCAAACTCCTTGCCCTTTTCTGATCTCTGTTGGAGTTGAGTTAATCAGTTAGGAAGTGCAAAGCTAATGCTCAAATATGGACAAGTCATGTGTGTGTGAGTTACCTCCTCAATCATTTCAACTAGAGCTTTATTGCAGCTTTCAAACCGGGTCTTCCATGTGCTTGACTCCTTTTCCAGCTTCTTCATCTTCTTTGTCATCTATTAACATGGAAATGTGATCAGCATTTTGTAAGAGGTATATGCCTTAAATAGACAAATACACTGTTCACAGCAACAACAATAAAAAAATCCTATTCCTAACAAGTATTTTTGTCTAATTTTCCCTTTTGAAATATCTAAAAATCCCTGAAGCAAGATACATGAGCTAGACACAACACTATAAGATATTAAGACGATGTATCTTTAATGTGAGTGTATTTTGCAAAATACACTTTTAAAGAAACATTTTCTGGAAAAAAAGGCTTAATATCTTATGCAGGGTTGCTTCTCAAGTAAAATTCTCCTGTGTTGCTTTTTTTAAATATTTGTACTGGAAGAAAAATGACCAATTAAATGTCGTTTATTGCATTGTTTTCCTATTAATTTTCAGCCTCAGACTGTAAATATGTGCAACGCAACAAACCTTATCCATCTCCTGTTTGAAAGTGCCATATATCTCATTGCTTTTTGCTAATGTGTTCTGGAACTCGTCAAACTTCTGGGAGTACAACACAAGCTGGAAAAAAAAAATCATTAGACTTAGCATCCTTCTGAAAATCTTTGGAAAATAATGCCTAAATCTATGTACAGTAAGAAAAACATGCATGACCAAGAATGTTAACATTTATACTGCATCAACTTGCCCTCCATCATTCAATTATTATATATCGATCTTTTTCACAGGTCTAGAATCCAACAAATTCATTCATTCATTCATTCATTCAGGCCTAATGCAAAGATAATAATAGTATTTAATCACTGATGTTGCACTGTAAACCAAACTGTTTAAATTAATTAAATGAAATGAGTTCAGTTCACTCAAATATTACTGAAAATTAATTCTAAAAAGTTACATGAACTTAAAATCAGAAAATGAAACTATAATTAATATAAGGAGATGTGTTAGTGCTTAATGTTCTGTTATGTTGTTATTTTACAGGGTTTTCTGTTATGTTAAAGGTTTGTAGGGTTACCATTGTGGTAAAGAGTAGAGCCTGCGGTGAGGCTGCAAAACTTCAAGTACATTAGCACATGCAAGTGCTTACTAGTTCAATATGATATTAATGTAAACAAACTGAAAACAGTTTATCCAAGATTTCAGTTGAATTGTAATTAACATGTTTGTGTAATTCAAAATAAAATGGTAGTTCTACCTAATCTTTGAGTTAATCAGATTACTTAATTGTTTTGAAGTAATCGGTTTCCATGAATGTTTTGAGTATTCCAAACTTATCAGGTTTTGTGCACTTTATATGCACTCCATCTTTAATTAGTCAAGGCAAATGTTCCATTTAAAAAACAAAAAGCTTTAAATAAGTGAGCACTTCTGTAAAGCAGTACTTACATTTACTTATTATTCACAACAACAGCAGTGGTGAATCAATTCATCCAGGTCAAATTTAGTGTTTAGGCACTTGTGACAATGTATTTTATGACATAATGTATAATGTAATTAGTTCATCTTTGTGGTAATTCAGAGAAATTACAAAATGAACGAACACAAAACGACATTTTTCATTGCAGCACTTTTATGATACTTTTGTAGCTGTAGACAACCTCAGTCCCTTATTCATTATCGTTGCATAAAAAAGCAATCAATATATTATTCAAAATTTCAGTTTTTGATTTCCACCGAAGAAAGGAATACATGCCTGATTGGAACGACATGAGAGTGAGTAAACAATGAATCCATTCATTTTGGGTACACTTTTTCTTTAGCACTTAAAAGTTTATTTTAAGAACTTCTGCTTTTTTCTGCAATTTATCCATCTCACCTGAAATGTATTCAACTGAAGTGCATTTAATGCGTTTGAACCTAAAGGATATCCATGAGCACTATAAATTGCCTTTTAAACTTGTTTGTGGTTTCTGTCTCATAGCTCAACGAGAGAAACGCCACCGCTAGAGAAGAGAGAGAGCAGGATTGTGGGTAATGCCACAGTGATAGATATTCACCTGAGCCTGCATGATTGTGTGCTGCTGTTTCAGCTCTTTAGTCTGTAGTTTCCACTCTGCAGCCTGAGTAAGTAACTGGTTAAACACAAGACACACACAAACAAGTGAGACCAAGAACTCGCCATTACCTGTTTCTTCATCTGTAACTCCTGCTCCCTCATTGTGTAGCATTTCTTTGTTTTTTCAATAGCATCTCTAAGCAACTAACAACATAAATGGTGAGATGTTAACATGTGGCACTTTCCAGTTTCATTTAAACATTGTTATAATCAGGGTCTAAAATTAACTTTTTGCCACACTTTGGAAAATGTACTAAAGATTTTAAACAACAGTTCAATTAAAAATAATTTAATATTGTTAAATTTCAGATACAATATTGTCAACATTGTCTGTTGTTGCTTAATTTTGCCAATGAAAGTAGTTCCAAAAACAAAGCCACAGCAAAACTGTTGTGGATCTCCGAGAAACACACAGCAGTTTACTGAATGAATCCGCGGCTTTGAAATTTTCACTTTCTGAGGTTTGTTAACATTAATATGAGTTCCTATAGCCTGTATATGGTCCACCAGTGGCTAGAAATTTCAATCGAAATGTAAACCGAACTTTGGCTAACTTTCTCTGCCTTTGAGAAAATGAAAGCTTAGACTCGCTGATCTTGAATCTCCTCCGTATGACTTCAAGATATCATTGCTTGCAAACGAGCGAAGCATGGTAGTTGATCAGTGTCGGATGTACAAATGAACACAAAAGCATTTAGTTCCTTCATCCGAGCCTCTGAAGAAACAATGGGCTGATTTTATATTTCTCTAGAAATGAAACAACTTCCCAAAGTTTTGTATGGTCCAAACATTTCATCAACGACTGTTTTTCCTCAACAAAGCCAATACTCGATCGAGCCACCAAGCAACAATTTCTGATGTGTAGCATAATTGTTTAAGTTCAGACCGGTAATCGTTCTCTCAAAATCGTTCAATACTGTTAATGCATAAGTCAAGTTACTAAAATATCAACTTTTTATTTAGCTGACTGCTCAATTTGAAAGACATAATCATCATGTCAGTTTATCAGCAAGGGTCAGACTATCGTTCGTGTAGATTGACTTAATATATTATGCTGCAGTTCCTTATAAAATGACCCCCATACTTGCATTTGTTAATTTTAGACCCTGCTTGTAAAGGAATTCCTTAAGCACATGCAAATGAATCTGTCTGCTCTTCATTTTACTCGAGGCAAATCTGAAGAGGTAGAACAGGAGATCTGTGTCTGTGTGTCTTACATATTCTTTCTCTCTCTTGTGCTTCTCTTCAGCTTGTCTGAGCAGTATGTTGGCTTCTTCCAGCTTGGCATCTGACACTTTCTGCTGTAGATCTCTGTGTTTGAAGATTTTCTCTAAAGTCTGCATAGAAAACACACAAGGAAGAGTATTTATTTAGACTTAAAGGGAACATATCAGATTTGCCTAAATGATTTTATTAATTACAAATATTTTATTTTACCCCTCTCTTCTACTTATAATGATAGTAATGTTTTTGCACAAAAAGACTGTTTCTTAAAATGTTTTTTTTTTCTTTTCTAAAACTAACAACTATTTTCAAAAGAAGGATGTGTGACTAATTTTAACATATTTTTGTATAAAACCACATGCACGTGGAACCTTTTAAATAGATATCATCTGGAATTGAAAACAGGGCATATGGAATTGAATCGTCGTGTGTATGTTTTTCCAGCTTTGGTCGGTAGACAGTTCTTCATAGAAGCCTTTATCTGAATCAGTCCAGCTTTTGATTTTAACAATGACTTTTTTGTCTCTATCATGATGATACACCTCACAGTGTGAAACAGAACATTTTCCAGGATCAACATCCTTTGCTGTTCTTGGAACAGCTTTCGTTGTCAATCATTCTTTTAGAGATAAAATCAGAGGGTGGCAATTGGTGGAAGTTGTTCCATGTTCTTCTTGTGTAAATCACATTGAGTTTGATTCATGTCTCTACTTCAACCAGCTGAGGGCAGTAGAGACACACAGCACAATTTGATCTCGAGTCATTTAAATTCTTGCCCGACACAGACAGGGTCTGATTTAGCCCAACACACAGCTGTGTGTGAGCAGTCTCTGTGGTACCCTTCAGGATGACAGATTGAGCTTAACTTCCCCACATCAGGCTTGTCATTCCACAGGCCGATCCTCATGTGATTAGATACAGAATACAAGGGTGTTCTACAAGGTGCAATATTCACTGTCAAACCGAGCGTGAATCACTAAGTCAAAGTAAAAAATAAATAAAGTATCTGCTATATACATATAGCAGGTTTAGAAAGTGTGAGGGTGTAGTTTCCTCTGCCTTATGTTGTGAAATTACAGCTCTGGCAGTTTCAAATTCTTAAATGGCCCATCCTTTTTATGCATATATGAGACTAAAAAATGCCTATACAAACACTACCCATCAACAGTTCAGAATAATTATGATTTAAAAAATGAGTTTTTAGTAGAAATTTTTTTATGCTTACCAATAATGCATTTATTTGATAAAATAAATCAATCTATAAAATTGTTAAATAGGCTAAATTATTAGTAAAAAAAAAAAATCATATTGTAATTTTTTTTTCCTGTAAATGGCAAAGCTGAATTTTCAGAAGTCATTATTTCAGTCTTCAGTGTCACATGATCTACCAGAAATCATTTGATTTGCTGCTCAAGAAACATTTCTCATTATTATCATTATCAATGTTGGAAATAATTGTGCTGATTCATATTTTTATGAAAACTGTGATAAGCTACCATGCAAACGTTTGGAATAAGATTCTTTTCAAAAAGAACAATAATTTAAAACTTTTAATCAGCAAGGATGCATTTAATTGACCATTGACAGCAAAGATATTAACGTTACCAAAAGATTTCTATTTCAAACAAATGCTGAACTTTATTAATCAAAATATCCATTTTTTTTGTCCCGGTATAAACACGGTTCACGATTATTAATAATTGAGCAACAATAACAATTAATGTTATTTTAGCACCAAATCAGAATGATTTCTGAAGGATCACATGACACTGAAAACTGGAGTAATGATGGTGAAAATTCAGCTTTGGAATAATCCATCACAGGAATAAATTACTTTTTTTAAATTATTTATATATATACAGTATATATATATATATATATATATATATTATTTTTTTTCTTTTTTTTCTGTTTTTTTCTGTCAGTAGTGTAGTGTAAGTTTGGTAAATTTTTCAGGTAGACCAGTACAAAATCCAATCAGATGCATTTTCAAATTACAATCACTTTTGGTGCACACATTCTTGTGCCAAAATCTAATCTCGGCTATACCATGGGGGTGCAGCTTTAAATGGATTTGATGTGTTAGATATTGAAGTGTTTGAAATGGTCAATTCATTTAGCTAGCTTTCGCTGTATACACTGGCTGCACAGGTTTTCGGTCTGCTTCACATGACAAGCACATATTTATTTTGGGGCCCATATTAACAGGTTACAGTATTCGCACTGCCTGTGTAAACAGCACAATGGTGTGTGGCAGAGCTTCTGTTATGCTGCAGAAACACTGATGATAGGTGGACCTGCTGTGGATTTCCAGACTAGATTTGATGTGTTTGTATAGTCTCGTGTGTTTAATGTACCTCTTCTCGCCGCTCATACTGCTCTATGATGGTCTTGAGTTTGCTGGCCAGCTCGCTGTTCTCTTGGCACAGCTTGTTGTTGCGGTTACTGTGTTGCTCGATCTGAGACTGAATGTCCACCAGCGTGCTCTGGAAATGAGTGCTGATCTCCTTCCGCTTCATTTCATCCTCCCGCATCCTTTGCATACTCTCCTCCTGCAGGGAGAAAGAGAGAAGGAAACGTGTGGGAAACATGTAGCCTTAAGATATGAAAGCAATAGATCTTGTGTGAGATGGGCAAATTATGTATTGTCTTTCATAGCATTCTGTAGTGGAGATGATATTATACACATTTGTGGGATAGAATGCCTGACTACTATTAAGGCTTATTTCATAGTTGACATTTTATGGTTCAATACATACGGTTAAGTAATATTTTGTATTATTTGAAATTATGAAAAGAAATGATAAAAAGAGCAATATTTAACTTGATTTTTTGTTTTTGTTTGTTTTCTTCCCTCACAAATGTGCATATTCTATCTCAGTCATGTTCATCATTAACTAAAACTACAAAATACTGAATATTTTTTAATTAAAATAAAGTAAATTATAAATATTAACTGAAAAACTTCAACTGAAAAATTTAACTACTAAGTACTATTATTACTGAAATAATATTTAATCAAAGCTAAATTATACTAATTAAAAAAACGAATATAAATGACTTATAGAAAAATAAAACTAATTAAAATGTTAATAAATACATAATAGTGTATAAATAATACTAAAATAACATTAAACATGTAGATACATTTTTTTATAAAATTTAATTAGAGACAAAATTATTGATTGTGAATAAGGGACAACCTTTTGGAAGTGGCTTTCACCACATTATTTGATATAGTGGAGAATGACAGGAAAGAGGGAATGGACATGTTATAGGCTGGACTTGAACCTGAGTGGTCCACATGAGTACCATAGCTCAAATTGTCCAAAGCCAGTCCACTAACCGTTACTCCACATTAGCACCAACAAAAAGGTCATCTTTGAACTGCACTATAATTTGCGTAACGATAAACAATATCATCTTTTTTTAGTATCTCGGATTGGACGTGTGATTGCTAAACAGGTCTGCCATCCCATGTGTGCGCTCTGTAAACATGAGCTCCTGTTTCAGAGACGCCGGCTCCCTGACTCAGCTAATCGTAAGGAATCCAAGCATTCAGCGTTCCTCTCAAGGGCTGAAGCTGTTTGCTTGCCTGTGTTTACACATGGCATGAGTCTCAAGCTCCCATCTGGGAAAGGTGAAGCTGTTCTACCAATAGGCAAGCTCATTAGGGAGGTGAATCGTGAGCACAAGGGAAATAACCCCGGATTAAATGTAATTTACTGTCATCATAGCCGAGAGTCGCACCTACACACAGGGCTTAGATGTTCTTTTCTGACCTGCTCACTAATGGCTTCCATAATATTTGAATAATATTGATTGGGGAGGGAACAAGGTCAAAGCCAGCCTCTAGGGAGGGATAGCATCAACTTCCAAAGACACGCAGAGTTTATATTAGTGCAAGAGTTTAATATCTTCAATGACCGGAGGAAGACAAAAAAAAAAAAAAAAAAAAACATGATTAGAGAGCTTCTCTCCAAGTCACTAAGCTGGGTTCCGCCATGGAGTACAAAAAAAAAAAAAAAAAAAACTTAAAATAAAAAGGCATTTGCACATTTTTATGAAATTCTGAATTGTGTGATATCAACTCGGAATTTGTGGAAAAAAGTCGGAATTGAGAGACATAAACTTTCAATCGCAAGAGAATCTATATCTTAGTCTTATATCTTGCGATTCTGACTACCATTTTTTAATTTTGAGATAAAAACTTACAAAAAAGTTGAGGATTCCAACGTATTCTCATTCTAGGGCGTCATATAGTGGCGCTTTTGACAATGCGTGTACATCCAACGCACATGGCACCCTTTAGCATCAATATAACACGCACAGAGTATGGGTAGGGTTAGGGTTAGACCACTAGGAGGCGCCTTCTGCCCCATATGTACAGTACTTAAAAATGTATTTCAACTTTACTTGAGTATGCTTAATAATTTTAACTTGAAGTATACTTATTTGTTGTAAAGGAACTCACACTTTTTTTCTTGCAATTGCCAGTTTATATCTCTCACTCTGACCTTTTTTTATTTTTTATGTCTGGAAACAATCTTCCATATACGTTAGTTAGACCATTGAATTCAACATGGATGAAAACCAAGCTGTGAGAGATACGCACTATATAAAGGTCCTAAATCATGTAATTTTCTCGAAACTTTTAAATCTGTTTTAAGGAGTTATTGTGTATTGAGTTTTTGTCATTTCGGAAAGAAGTTTCATCAGCTTAACTATTGGTATGTTGTTAAACAACAGTAACATTTGAACGCACTGTAATTCTACCCCTCGCAGCCTCGTTTTCATTCCTGTCAAAATTGAAATATGTGCTACCCTGACTAAGGAACACTCGCAATTATCTTGAAATTATGGATCGTAATCTCACAATTGTGAGGGAAAAATGTGTCTGTATGAATGTGCTGGGACAGAAACCGCTACCTTTTCTTACAACGTCCTCCAGCACCTGTTCAGTGAATAGTACAAATAGGCTGAAATCAGGTTATCAACCACAGAGAAAATGGCTCCAGGTGCTTTACACAAGATTCGTAACATCTTTCATATTACGTAAACATTCACCGAATGGAGGTGAAATTGTTCTTGGAAGGGAACATAATTGTTTGGCAGAGTGAAAAGGCATGAGTAGACCACTATAGCTGACAAATGGAAGCATTTCATGTGCTGAATGGTTTTTGTAAAATAACAAATATGAAAGCTCAGCTGAGAGAGGCCTTCACAAATTAGTTTGCAGCTCTTTATATTCTGAACCGTATAAATCGGCCTTAAACTCAGCTCCTGGAGAGCCACTGTCTTGCAGAGTTTAGGTCCAACCAGCTTCCTGGAAGTTTCTAGTAATCCTGAAGGCGGGTTATTTGTGAGCAACTATTTGTGTCAGTGTAAAATAAACAGTGATGGACATGTAGAAATTAAAGTTCAAGCTCCAATCTCCTGGCAAAAATTCCCCCCAAAAGTCTGTTGGTGCCTCAGGGACTACTTTGTTTGGAGAAGCTGTCAATCACAGCTATCAATCATGACGTCACATTACCGTTTTTATAGCATCAAATAACTAACTAATACCAAACATCTTTAAAAAAAAATCCAAACACTTAAATTTACATCAGCGTGATAAAATGACATAAATCATCTTTGGAAAGATGGGTTTGAAGTGTAATTTGATTGTTTTGTTTCCATCGCGACTTAATAGGGAGGGCGAGATTTATGACGTATACTGGGACCACCTGTCGGCGATCGAGGCGTTTTTGCTACACTTTTCAGGACTTGTGCGGCACGCTTACCTAAAACCAGTTCAGGAAACTCCACCCACAGTCATTTCTAAAGATTTCATTGGTCATGTCAGTCACAGTGCTGATTGCCCACACCAAACACTAAACCCTAAGTAACCCTACCCTTCACCCTAACCTTAACCAATAAAATTAGCTATAGGGTGGTATTTCCGCTGAACTGCTTTGGGGGGAAAAATCGCGTATTCCGGACCTTGACAAGTTGGATCAGACGTGTTTAATTAGGGTTGGAGTGCAGAGTGTTTGAGGGGCCATTTTTAATGACATCGTTGTCAACCAAAAATGGAAAACGTTTTACGTTTTTTGGGGGCCTGAAACGCAAAGCTTTGAAAAACGGTTTCAAATTGCAAGTTTTTGAAAACAATACAATTTTTGTCTTCCTGCAGACTACAAAAATGCAAATTTGTGAAATCAGTGACATCATGTGCATGCTTATTACGTGTGTAGTCTATGTAGTTTTTTTTTTTTTTACAAAGTGACATCACAAACTACTGGCCTGGCATGTATAATACTGTGTTTTTAATCGTTCTTGCTGGTCCGTGTGAACGGGGATAGTTTTGACAACGTTGTCGTCTGTACATAAAATTGCAATGGAAAAACGTTTTTGTTTTTAGTACATCGTTGTCATGTAAATGTACCCTCAGACAACTACATGCATAAGGAAGCCATTTATTTTTAAAGTGCTCCAGTATTCTGGACGCAACAAGCAAGCTGCGACCAGTGAAGTCTGATTCTCGAGTGAATGACTTATAAACCTTTTCTTAAAGTGAATTAAAATCATACAGCACCAATGGTGAAGTCTGTGAAGATTTTTTTTTTTTAATAAAAGCTCTAATTTGAATAAATATGGAAATCTTTTAAGGAGTTGATTGCACTAAATCTATTATTCCGAATTCTGAAAAAACTCTTGTCTTGGGATGTATGTAGTCTCTAGCACCAACAGAATGGTAGAACAGGGAGGCCATGGCCTCTGCAGTGATTTGAGCCAGTGAGACATTCTCTTTGACTTTTGATTTATAAAAGAAGGGCAACTGCCATTGAAGCTCGGTAACACTATCCCTCTTGTCATAGTGACCTGTCAGCAGCGCTTTGAGTCTGAGAAGTCAGTGTGTGATCGAGGCAGAGACACAGGGACACAGCAGTAACGTCCCACTGGGCTCAAAGACACCGTTTCCTCAGTTAGAAGCTAAGTTGACTCATTCTCAGTCATCAAAACACTGAGAAACAAGATAACAGGACAACAAGTCAAGCTCAACAATTCTATCATGTCAAACAGGTCTGTTGTTGTGGTGTTATCTAATTCAGATGAATACACCCCTGAATGGCACATAAAAACAAAATGATGTAATTCAAAAGCCAATGGTTCTTATATGATATCTCATCTTATGTCATCATCTCATCTCATGTTTCAAGTAAGTTTTTTTTAGTTTGGGGATGGAAAAATGGAAACATTCCCCCAAAATACAGTATAATCAAAAATTAAACATTAGGCTTTTGTGGTCAACAAATTCATATGGCACTGCCTATTAAAAAATAAAAAAATCAAAGAAAAATATTATGAAAGACATCCCTCATTGCTTGCCAAGGCTGCTTTTTTTTTTTTTTTTTTTTTTTTTTTACCAAAAATGTGGTAAAAACAGCAATATTGTGAATATTACTGGTTACCATATATTTTCAAGATTACAATTTAAAATATTTGTTTACTATTTTAATATATTTTAAAAATGTACTTTATTCCTGTGATGGCAAAGCTGAATCTTCTTAATACTTTCAATGTTGAAAAGAGTTGTGCTGCTTAATATTGAAAGAAAACAGGGATACATTTTTTTTTCAAGATACTTCTTTTAAAGTCTAAAAGAACAGCATTTATTTGAAATGGAAATCTTATGTAAGATTATACATATATTTGCTGTTACTTTTGACTTTTGAAACTAATTTAACCAGAAAAAAAAAACAATTGTACTGACCCTGAAACTTTTAAATGGAATATGGAAATATGCATGTTTATTTTTTCTAAAAGAAGTAATGTACGTTTCTTATCACATATAGTTTGTTTCTTTTCTTTGAAGTGCAATAACGTTCTCTGCCTCAAAACAACTTTTAAGCAGATTTTTAGGCTGGGAAAAATACCAATGTAATTACCAATGTAACATAGCCTGACTTTGGATTTCTTCTAAGCTGTCAGTAGAGAGTGTTCTCACCTTCAGTGTCTTGTTATGTCTCTGAAGCTCCCTGCAGAGCATCTCCAGCTTGCTGCGGGCCAGGATGGCACGACTGTGCTCGAACTGAAGCTGATCTCTCTGCTTGACCAGAAGACCCTGTTTCTGCTGAAGCTGCTCCAGCTGTTTCTTCTCAGTCCTGTGTTCCTCCACCTGCCCGACATGCACAAAACACACGCAGGTGTGATCCATACATCATCTTACGCACCGCATTAACACCTCTGGCTGGTCTAAAGCTAGCTGCTTTAAATAATGTCTGTCTGGTTTTTCGGATGTTCTCAAGAGGATTTCGGAATGGCAGGATATAGACTTTTTCAAGGCCCAAAGTTTGCATATGTGGTTTTGTCAGAACTAGAATTACTTGTATTCTTCTGTCATACTTTCGGCTTTATGTGTCCCTGCCGCTATCTCTGTGTTCTGAAATTGAAGAGAGTGTTGTGGCTTTCTTGTGTGGCTTATGGCCTTGTGTTCAGACTCGCTTCAGCCCGAGGCTCCGTATATTTAGGTCATCGCAGTATCAGTGAAAGCACTCTTAACATCACACCAGGAGTTCTTTTATTTTCTCTCTGTGTCAATCCAGTTTGTGCTCTGTTTGTTTCCTCTTAACTGTCCTCTATGCATTGTTGTTGGCGGTGGTGAAAACTGTTCTCTCTCTCAGGTCTGGATACTCACCAGCTCGGTGTATTTCCTCAACACCATTTCCACTTTCTCTTCTGGTGAGCCGAGCTTGTTCAGACTTTGCAATAAGGATGCAGCGTCTTTACCTACAAGACAAGCGTTTTCCATTCAGATCAGAGAATGAAAAGATGAGCAGAAGCCCACAAGGGAGAGTTCTGCACGCAAGCTTCAAAATAAATCAATGGGAGAAGTGGTGAAATCACTGCGTGATCATTTTTACCATACGGTAAAACGGTTGAGAAAAGCAAACAAGGCTCAGCCTAAAGGGACAGTTAATCCACACATGAAAATTCTGACATTATTTATTCTTTCTCATGTTGTTCCAAACCTTTATGATTGTCTTTTTTCTATTGAAAGCTTAAAAATGACAAAAACTGTCATTAAAGCACTGTTAACCTATAGCTAACAAAAATATGTTCTAAGAACATTTAGCTTTCGTTGACATTTCTGTACGTCCTCTGAACGGTCAAAGTTTATTAAATGTTTTAAAACATTTTTATTGTTTATGCGAACATTCCATTTTATCATTTTGCGAATATTATGGAAATGTTAAATGTGAACGTTCTCTGAATATTCTGTAACATTTTAAGGAAACTTTCTGGAAAAGCGTTCCATGAATAATGTATAAATAACGATGTTGTCAGAAAGTAATTAAAGACAAAATAACTGAATGAACATTCTATTAAAATTATCGGAAGAACATTTGTGACCCTAGCCTAGACCACAAAACCAGTCACAAGTCGCATGGTATTTGTGTCAAAAGCCAACAATACATTGTATTGTTGTTTCAAAATGATTGATTTTTCTTTTATGCCAAAAGTCATTACACTGAAAATGCTAATAAGTTGATTGAACTCAGTTGATTTGAGTAAACTCGTTCCCTCAATTTAATTGAGTAATGGGGTCTCCCAAAACGTGCATTTTTAAGTTTACTTAACTTGGTTCTTATGTAGATTTGACCTAAATTGTTTTGTTCACCAAACTTGACTATTATTTAATGTACTTCAACAATAAAGTTCACTTAACTTAGTGTTGATTTCAAGTAGCATATTAAGTTAAGACTACGTTCCATGAAGCTAATTTGTAAGTTTCCTACTGTAAATATATAAAATACTTGGTGGATAGTATATAATTATATACTGTAGATATATAAAATAGTGGATGTAGCAAAAGCATGAACATAAATGGACAACTTTAAGGCGACTTTCTCAAAGTTTCGATTTTTTTGCACCCTCAGATTCCAGATTTTCAAATAATTGAGCAGCTTATTTATTCAACTTTCTGATTATATATAAATCTCAATTTCAAAAAATTGTGCCTGGGTTTGTGGTCACATTTGTTCATAGCTTTCAAACAAAGTTCTGAGAACATTCCCTTTTATTAAGTGACAAATAATTCACTGGTCGTTGAATGAATTGTTGATCCAGTTTACAAAACCAGTCTGAATGATTTATTCACAAATCTGGTTTAGTTCTCAAGTTCAATTGACTGACTGACTCACTGAATGATTCAGTTGAAAAATTCAATTTATCTTTGAATATTTTCACAACAAACTAATAGAGCATGCATCAAGGACAAATTTATGATATTGTATGATGTATTTCTGGTACTTTTGTGTTGTGTTTTTTAAATCTTGAAATATTATCCTCCTGTTTATTGTAATTGAATTGAAATGAGTGACCAGTCCAATACTGTACTTTATTCGAATTTTCTCTTTCTGTGTTCCACGGAGGAAAGTCATGACAGGTTGGAACAACATAAGAGTGAATAAATGATGACAGGATTTTCATTCTTGTGTAAAATTTTCCTTTAAGCCCAAGAGCGTGGCAGAAAGAAAAAAAAGAGGTCAAGCAAGTGTCACTGTCAGTATTTTGATGGTGAAGTGGTCTTTAGTATTGACATGAGGACCCTTTTCTTGAGAATGGAAATTTTCCAAACAGTTGATTACTGCACTCTTGGCACTCAACCATCCTGCTGATAGAAAACCCAATCACTGTTTATGGCTCCATCTGTGTGATTGAGAGGTGCCGCATACAATGTTATTTTTCAAACATAAAACAGTAATCAGTATTCTAACTGAAATCTCTGCAACGTGGGTCATTCAACAAAATGGATGCCATTTGTGTCACTCGACGCTCCTGTTCAAATATTCGGAGTCAGTACGATTTTTTTAAAGAAATTAATTTACTTAAATTTAGGAAGGATGCATTAAACCGATCAAAATTGACCGTAAAGACGTTATTTCTATGTCAAATAAATGTTGTGCTTTTGATTTCTGATTTGATGAAGAAATTGTATCAGAGTTTACATGAAAGTTTTAAACAGAACAACTGTTTTTAACATTGATAATTATAGCAAAAAGTGTTTCTTGAGCACCAAATCTGATGTGGTTTGTCAATGTCAATGATTTACGAAGGATCATGTGACACTGAAGACTGGAGTAGCCTAATGATGCTGGAAATTCAGCTTTGATATCACAGGAATGAATGACATCTTTGAATATTTTAAAATAAAAATCAGTGAATTTAAATTGTAAAAATATGTCATAATATTTATGATCAAATAAATGCAGCCTTGATGAGGATAAGAGACTTTTTTCAAAAACATAAAAAAAAACTACCGCAAACTTTTGAACTGTAGTGTAAAGTTAACATGTGTTAATAGACATTTAATAGACTTTGAGAGGTTTAGTCTTTTAGTTTGTCTGATGTTTGATCTCAAGATGTTTGTCAAACTAACAGAGGAGAAGTGCAGATTCCTCACCCAGGCCCTTGAGGAGTTTCTTATCAGCTCTCTGCTCCTTCTCAGAAGCTTCTTTGGGCTCTGCGTTGTCATCAGCCTTCTTCTCCTCAGACTCCAGGATGGAGATCTGCTCCTGCATCAGGTTGGACGCTGCTCCATACGTGTTGATTATATCCTCAAGTTGCCTGCTGAAGTCCTCCATGGGGTCATTTGGCTGCTCCTCAATGCCATTGACTTGTTCATTGGCGCTCTCAAGGGTCTGGTCACTGCCCTCCATCATCTGCTGCAAAAATCAAGTTAAATATATCATAAAAGTGCTTCATAAGAATGCAGTTTGATTAGCAGAGGTAGAACAGCCAATTCCCTGATTGCACTCTTGGCTTGATGCTAAAATGAGAATGTTGAAATTAATGAGAAGTGATTATGCATTTCTTGTAGAGAGGTTTGATATGACTCCCTGAAATCACCAGCCACTGAACTGAAGACGGATGGCTTTTGGCCAGTCTGTGGTATACGTTTGCATTAATAGAAGGAATTTGTGTTTGAAATTCATGAGGTTATTTGTAAGAAATGTGAATTCTAACATTTGATTAATGTAATGCCTCAGGCAGAAACAATCCTAATAGTAGAGTAGTGACTTAAATATTTGCAGAAACTTAAAACTGAGACTTAGAAATAACTGAAGGGAAATTTTATTTTTTACAAAAATGTTAATTAATAAAATAATTTAATTTGTTCTATGTACTGTATTCATCTTATTTCTTTTTTTAAATGATTTATTTATTTTATTTTATGTACCAAGTTAACGATACTGTTGTATGGCGATATTATTCGTATAAATATACAGTATATATATACACTCTAAAAAAGGCTGGGTTGTTTCAACCCAAATTTGGGTCAAATATGGCCAAACTCGAATGTTGGGTTAAAAATGCAATTAAAAAAATTACAGTGAAAGTTGAAGTTTGGTTAAAATTAGAAATTACATTTTTAACACAACATTTGGGTTTGTCCATTTTGTACCCAAATTTAAGTTCATACAACCCATTGTTTAGAGTGTATATATATATATATTATATATAATATTGGTATACCACAGTATCGTTACATAGATAAAATAAAAATAATAATAGAAAAATAAGATGAAGTTTGGGGTCGGTAAGAGTGGCTGCGTTCGAAATCGCATACTGTGTGAGTAGGTACTATATTTAAAAAAGAACGTACTTCACGACCGTTAAAAAAGTACGTTCTATATAGTATGAATACGGTTAGTAGCCTATGAATGAGTCCGGACGTACTACATGCGCCATGTTGTTGTCCAATGCATATGTGACGCTATATGACAAAACGGCGAAATACTACGCACATGGCAGCCGTTATCGTTAATATAACACGCGCTGTGATGGGTAGGTTTAGGTGTGGGGTAGGGTCGGGTAGTCTCATATTAACGCTAAAGGATTTATGACGCCTTGGGTTCGCGTGTTACATTAACGATAAAGGGTGCCATGTGCGTAGTATTTCGCCATTTTGTCATATAGCGTCACCTATATGACGCTAAAGGATGAGAACGGGCTTTGTTGTCAGTGACATACGCTGTCACAACAGTGCGAAATTTTAATTCCACTGACTGCACCAACTTCACGCTATTTTTAGTTCTGCTCTATACGCCTACTGTTTTTCAAATTCTATGATTTTGGACATACTACTCTGCTCATGTACTGTTTTTCGCATGCTATATAGTAAGGAAATATTCGATTTCGGACACAGCTTCTATCTTATGCTCACCAAGACTGCATTTATTTGATCAATATACAATAAAACAGTAATAGTGTTATTGCCATATAATTACCATTTTAAAATAAAATAAAAAAGTTTTCTCTTTTAATATGTAAGAAATAGAAATAGAGGTCCTAGAATGTCAAAGACGAATTTTCAGCAGCCATTACTCCAGTCTTTAGGTGTAACATGATCTTTTCAAAATCAATAAAATTATTCTAATATGTTGAATTGGTGCTCAAGAAATATTTTGAATGGTTGTGTGTGTAGCTTATAGAGATTTTTATTATTATCAATGGATCTTTTAAAAATTCTGTCTCTTAATATTTATTGTTTGTGATCTAGTCAGTGATAGCAACTCTAAAAAGAGTCGCATTTGATCTGTAAGTTGCCTCCACGTCGAGTGGACATCTGAAGAGAAGCAATGAGCCGCATGTGACACACAAGGCTGTGGGAGGGGGCACAGAGAAAATAGCACAAATCACAGTGGCAGAGTATCACTGAGCCTCTAAATCTGATGTGTCACAGATAGCGCCAGACCTGAAGCCCTTCAGCTCAACACGGCTGATTTCATGTGGAATGAACTCTGAGATTCCAGAGGTTGTTTATGTCGAAGCTCTGTTGCTTATCAGGTTAAAATTATAGCCCTCTTTCCACCCCATGTGCATGTCTCCACTCCTCCTCCTATCCCATCACCCCTCCCCATTCAGCAACACGGCACCTGTTGTGAAGCCACAAGCTATTTTTGGACCCTTTAAATATGGACAAGCTATTTCTTATTCTTGCCACGTAGCTTCTGATGTCAATGATGGCAGTTTTACGCAAAGTGGAAAAAACAATGACTCTTCTAAACATCGGTATACCTTTAAAACAAGAGGCTAAGAGTGAACCACACAGTTTAGACTAACTTTGGGAAATGCAAACGACACGATTACTTTGCTCATCCGTTAAATTGAAAATGACAGAATTATTGCTTGGAGACTTTGTCTTCATATTGGGCTTACAAAAATCACAATGACGGAACCACACTATAAGGACTGGAACGAAATGTACAGCCAAGTGAAAACTAACTCGTATGTTCCTCAAAAACAAGTGTTGGACATTCAGGTCAACTCTTCAATAAAATAGAGAAGCTCAAGACTTACCCTACACGTGTCTGTTCAGGTTCGAATAGAAAAGGAAGACAATGAACCAGCCAGTCCACAGTTTTAGGAGAGTGACAGAGAGACCTGAGGAGGGTCCGCTATAGGACCCAAGACAACAGCTGACAACACGAGCCCCTCAAAATAACCTCCACTGGAACACCAATGGAAACGTTGTCCAAACACTCTGAATCAATTGGCCTGTCAAGAGCTTTCTACTCTGGCTTTTCAGGAAGACAGCTGAGAAGCTAATGTTGAAGGCTTAAAAAAAGAGTGCATATATGTTTTTGTTGAGTATGATATTTGATACATGATGAGGCTTAAATGGATTTTTATTGTGGGGGAAAACATAATGCAATGTAATGCTGACGAGCCTGATGTATCATATCTGATACTCGCATTTTAACATATAAATAAATTATGCATGGATAATCAAGTAAAGTTGCTTCAGTAAGTTGCTTCAGTCAGTAAGAAAATATTACTAACAATATAAAAGTCATTCTTGCATTTACTTTATTATAATTTTTTTTTTTTGGGGGGGGGGGATTATACTAAAAGGTCTTTTACTTACTAAAAAAGTATGATCAATCAGATGGCAGAAGGCATGTGGATTGTGTATAACAGTATTTTCAGCAAACTTTTGATCATGTTATTAATATAGAGAAATTAGTGTAGGCTTTATAGGGTTAACATGCAAATCTGGGTGGCCCTCACAGTTATTGACTTGTACTGAATGCCTGACGACGAATTTCTTGTAACAATCTGCTTAGTATTGGGTGTTAACGGCTCCTATTAGCATTTATATCACATTTGTCCACCATAATTCCAGTCAATTGCGCTCTAATCACTCCAAATCATGCAAATGGAGAATTGTGAAGTGATTAGCATCAAACTCACTCCACCAAAAGTGTTTTTGTCTGCTCATTTCTAAATATTTGAGCATATTTAGAATGCAACTGCAAAACACGGCCACCCACCCATTCATTAAACAATGTCATGTGATCTTTAATGAATGACTTACAGTATGTAGTGCACTTTTACACTGATATTATCAATTTTGGGCATCAGAATCATTATTTTGCTATTTGCAATGGCACTTAGTAAAAGCCCAAATGAGTCTAAATTGTTGCGGGTCATGTTAAGGATTTGTAAAGAGTGGTGGGCGATAGTCTTTCTCTCTGATAATCCTCACCCGTGGCTTTTATTAGTGAATCTTTTAATCACCAGATAGAAATGATTTGACTTTGGCTCCAGGCTTCATTATTTCTCTCAGCCCCTGCATCTCAATTAATGATTGTAACGTCCTTGTTCATTGATAGGAGACACTGGATAGAATTGCGTTTGGTTCTCTTGCTTGGGTTTTTTGATAAACCTTGTCTCTTTAACCTTGAATCCCATTTTGCCGCAACTGTCAGCATGTTACAGAGCTGGAGGCAAGGACTTCGATTGATGTTTCTGGCCATGCAGGTTTTGTGATTAAATGCATAGATGGACTGGTATGAATGAGTGATACCGCTCAGAACTGCTCACTTCTTGGTTTTCATGACACAGGTCTCTTCTGACAAAGTCACAACAGAATTTTGTTTTGTTTTTTTTTTTTTTTTTTTTGCTTGAGGGTTCCTCTAAATGAGCTGCTGACTCATGCAGTCAAATTAAGTCAGATTTGTCCACTTCTCTTGCTTCGCTCTCCTATCTCTCAAGGTGCTGTCAAAAGCACAGATCCTTGGACTGTGTTGCTGGGACAGGAACGTCCACATATCCTGCATATCATCTTCTCTGTGAGATGTTGTATTTAATATCCTCACACTTGCTGTGATTTTTTACCTGTTTCTCATTTGTGTTTATGTTTTTGGATTGCCCTTTTGGTGTTTTGAACCTTTGCCTGGACTGGATTGTTAGTACGGATTGTCCCAATAAATTTAACTGCACTTGGATGTCTCTCTCCCGTGTGTGATCGTGACAGTATGCCACAAAATAATTAGGTTTTTTTTTCTCTACTAAAAATATAAACATTTAATTTAAACTAGTGGAATACTTGAGGAGAAAAATGTTTTCTATAGGCAACATTTTGTGACGTTATGTTATTAATAAAACAGCAGCAACATTTTGCCAGTAGAAGAAACCTCAACCTTAAAGGAGAACTCCGGCGAACAATGAACCTTTGGTCTAAGAAAACATCGGTACCTAGTCAATCGTTCTCTGAGTTTTGTTTTCTTGATAATCGAATGTAAAGAGTTTTATCTCTACAAACTGTTTAACGTATAATGCTAGTAATGGGGGCATTGACTAAGTAAAAAGAAATCGCTAGTTTATACCACTAACAAGGCTCAAAATAGCCCCACACTAACACAGTAACATAATGAGGCCCCATGCATGCAAAACGAAGCATTGAGAACTTTGTAAGTGTACAGACCGTTTAATAAGAAGATACTTTATGAAGACAGTTCACTTCGCGTATACAGGCAGGAGCCATCTTAAAAAATAGTCTCGATAAGTCGATCCCCCGAACGCCGTTCATACAGTTCAGAAGTTCGCTGAACTTCATACAGTTCAGATCACTCAGCACGACGTTCGTGGTTTGACTTATCGAGACTATTTTTTAAGATGGCTCCTGTCTGTATACACGAAGTGAACTGTCTTCATAAAGTATCTTCTTATTAAACGGTCACTTACAAAGTTCTCAATGCTTCGTTTTGCATGTATGGAGCCTCATTATGTTACTGTGTGAGTGTGGGGCTATTTTGAGCCTTTTTGGTGGTATAAACCAGCGATTTCTTTTTACTTAGTCAATGCCCCCATTACTAGCATTATACGCTAAACAGTTTTTAGAGATAAAACTCTTTACATTCGATTATCATGAAAACAAATCTCAGAGAACGGTTGACTATGTACCGATGTTTTATTAGACCAAAAAAGGTTCATTGTTCGCCGGAGTTCTCCTTTAATTTTTTTTTATTTTTTTACAGGAAAACAAAACATGCATACTCATTGACTCATAATGAAATTTATTTGAGCAAAATGTTTTTTTTATATTTTTACCTGTACAATCAGATACTCTGATAATGCAAATAAATCTTGCCTCTCATGTTAGTGATCCATATGAATACAGATCTCTCTGGGGAATGTGAAAATCTTATTTCAGCTTGTGTTTTATTCACAGGGTAGGATGGAGTAGCATTTAAAAGGAATATGTGTCACACATGTGCATGTAGCATAAGCTAACAGAGGGGATTTCTCTTCACACCCTCAATAAGACATTCTAGCAGCTCTCTTGACATTGAACGTCTCTGACTTGTTTGTAGGCTACAATATCTCCTTGCAATGCAGGCCGGAGGTGTCTGGATACACAGCAGCAGAGGGGGGCTCAGAGCAAACTGTTGGGTATGAGCACAACCAACATTCCCACAGTGAAGGTAATTATTACAGTCAACATCCCTCTGCATTGACGTTAATGCAATTCGCACCTAGTCATAGAGCAAAGGAATGAGGCACAGAAGTCAATTAGCCTGACCAGGACAAGACCGCATTCCCAGCTTGCAAGTCATGAACATTTTATTAGACTTGGAGTTTCAGTTACTGTATATATAGGCTGTTATACAGGATAGCAAGAGCATTTAGATGTTCAGTTGCATTAGACTTTTGTATGGAAACTTGTTTCCACCACAGAATAAAAAAAAAAAAGAAAAATTGGAACTTTTTATTTCTTAATGTTTTTCTTACAACTTTTTATCTCAGAATTGCGAATCTTGAAATCTTGCCAAATAAAAGTGGCAATTATCCTTTTTATTCACTTTTTTATTTAGTAGAAGAAACAAGCTTCCATATTTTTCACTGTTTGTATTGCTTGTTCCAGAAAGACCTAGATTTCTCGCTGCTTGCTGTATTGTGATGAAGTACTCATGTTTGTTGTAGTGTTGTGTGGGCAATCGGCAATGAGATTGACACCAGTAATGAAATCTTTTCAATCACCCTGGGGCGTGTTGATGGGTCCCATGTAAGTGTCCAAAGCTCTTTCATGCAGTGCAATGACAGCATCTGCGGTGCATTAAGCTGTAAAAACATGCTGTGGTGAAACTCACCTCTGAGCAGCGGGGCAGAACCTCCATTGATAGACTGCTATAGTGGATCTCACTTAGTATATTAAACAATGTCACAATCCAGATCAGTGTCATCCAGCATTTGCCTGTTTACAGAATGTTCTGCACTGATAGTGTCATCATGACTGTTTTAGCAGGATGATCAATATCAAAAGAAGGACATAAGTGATTATTTGACACTAGAAATGATAGTTTAAAACATGATTAAGACCAAAAAGGTCATTTTGACAGTTTAGCCCCTGCTGTTAGATGTGGGTTGATTTTGAAAAGCATCTGTCTCTATTAACAGCCATTTAAAAGCAGCTGGGCATTCTGGTGAAACTTGTTTAATACAATATACAGAATAACAATTATTTTATATATGCAACCATTGAAAAATGTGGAGTAAGATTTAAATTTTTTGGGTAAAAGCCTTTTATGCTCACCAAAGCATTTATTTGATCAAAAAAACAGTAAAAACAGTAATATCATGAAATATTATTGCAATATAAAATGTCTTAATAATTATGCAACTATGAAATTTTTGATGAAAATCCAATGTAGCAGTTTAGAGTTTATTAACATACACTACTGTTAAAAAGTTTTTTTTTTTTATTTTTTTTTTTTTTAAGTTTTTGAAAAATACGGTAAAAAACTAAAACAGTAAAAAAAAATACAGTAAAAACAGTCATATTGTGAAATATAATTACAATTTGCTCTATGTTGTAATTTAATGTATTCCAGTGATGGTAAAGCTTATTTTTTTCAGCAGCGTCATTCTAGAATTGATTCATTAAATAATAATAAATCCTTGCTGAATAAAAGTTTTAATTTCTATCAAAATATATATATTCCTTACTTACCCTATATTTAAAACTTTTAACCAGTAGTATTCGTATATATATTATAGTAGTATATTTTATTGATTAAATATTTGTATTATAGATGATTACCGATTCTTTTTTTAAAAGAAATGTCAATTTTTACAATTTTTCCTTGTCTATCTCCTTTGATGACACTGTTTGTTCT